TTCATAATTAAGTGCCATGACAAAGTGTAAGTAAAGATTTGGCTAATGACAATGCCCTCCCCCCCAGAGGCCAACCACTGACCCCCCTTCCTCTGGCTTGCACATTCTCCTCCGTAAGCTTTTGGGTGAGGACCCCTGACGCGACGTGTCCGGAGCCGTTTCCTTGGATGCCCAGGCTCGCCAGGAGGAACCCCTCCCGACGAGCTGGTACATATACCAGCTCGTCAGAAGGGGTTCCTTCCGACGAGCTGGTACATAATCCAGGTCGTCGGAAGGAACCCCTTCTGACGAGCTGGTATATGTACCAGCTCGTCGGAAGGAACCCCTTCTGACGAGCTGGTATATGTACCAGCTCGTCGGGAGGGGTTCCTCCCGGCGAGCCTGGGCATCCAAGGAAACGGCTCCGGACACGTCGCGTCAGGCGTCCTCACCCAAAAGCTTACGGAGGAGGATGTGCAAGCCAGAGGAAGGGGGGTCAGTGGTTGGCCTCTGGGGGGAGGGATTTTCAGTATCCTCAATCATCGCCAAATCGTCCATGATTGACGCGTAGGTGGATCTGTTGGGGTCGGGGGGTCAAGGGGGAGGCAGCATGGGCTACCTAGAGGGGGAAAGAAGAGAAGAGAAACTTTCTGTTATTAGGGGGATGTGGAGAGGTGATGTGTGTGGGCAGACGCGTAAGAGATGGTGACTTGGTGGTTGCGGACAGAAAGTTGAGATATGGCTTGATTGAGTGACTATAGGTAAAAGAGGGTGTAGAATCTGAATAAGCAGTAATATTATAATAATTCCCAGTGAATGTAAAGCAAAATAATAGATGATATGGAAAGGTATGGGTTACCACACCGGTGGGCTATGCGGGTGACCCATGGGCAGCCCACCACTCCAGGAGCCCACAGGCTGGGTTGTTTGAGGCAAAAAAAAGAAGTTTTTCACATTTACTACAGTCTACAACAGCCTAAGGGAGAAGCGGGGTCAAAAAAAAACAAGAGAACAAAGCCACATAGAGGATGAATAGACTACATCTCCTTCATCCAATGCTGAGAGCACAAGAGTGCCTCAGTGGTATCTTTGTTCAGGTGGCTTTGGTAGTTGTCCGAGACACGACCACCGGTGGAAAAGGCTGATTCCAATGCCACAGAGGTCACTGGGGCCATCAGGATCACTTGTACAAGCTTGGAGATGGTTGGTAACTGAGTCGCGTTGACCTTCCACCAAGCGAGAATATCAAATTTTTTATCGCCTGTGATGCTGACATTTCTCTCCTCAAGGTAGAGGTCCAATTCAGCACCCAGTGCATTGGCTTGATGACCCTCTCCATCAACATTCATGAACTGCAGGAATCATGTGGTGTCCTCATCAACTTTGGTTGTTGAAGTTGCTAGATTCTTGTTTGGTAATTCAAAAGTGGGAGATGGGGGAGCGTAAATTCCAGCTAATCCAATCACTGCCACCTTCACCTTGCTGACCATCTGTATCACTTCTTCAGGAGTGTGCATCTTTTGGAGGCTGAGTTGAAGATAGCAAATTTTGTAGCAAGGGTTGAGCACAGTCACAGCTCACAGCAGCATCCTGACGGAACAGTCAAGCCTGCGGGCACCCGCTGGGCCGGCCCGCACTAACCCGCACCATTTAGTGACTTGAACAGGCTGGGCCAAAGTCCAAATATTTCATCAAAGCACTGTCCGCGCCCAACCCAAATCCGGCCGGGTTTGGGCGGCCTATTGCAGGGTTATTACTTACTTTCCCCTAAAAATTATCTCCTGGGATTTAAACCACACCTGTTACAGGCCCCAGTGTATCAGGTACCTAAATCCTCTGCTTTTTGAAAAATACCATAGACAGATTAAACCACCCCTGATTTATCAGGCCCCTCTGGTTTTATTTATATCAATTTTATCAATATAAATTGGCCATATTTTGGATTTAATCCATAAATTCTACGTAATTCTTTTGAATTACTTGTACCAGTTTTATCCCAAAGTTTTTCTTCATAAAAACTCTTACATTTTGTACCTTGTGTAGCTAGCAGACACTTGTCTTGGCATCACATAGGCTGACACTCCCCCAACTTGATTGGTGTCCCCATCAGATGTGAAGGGAGAAAAACCTGAGAGGTTTTGAAAAACTGAGTCTGATCCAAGGAAATCCAGGTGGCTATTCTGAAAGGTGTTTGAGTAGCCACCTCCTAGTGGTATAAGACCATCAATCAGCCTTGCTTAAACCCATAGTTATAGGTTTGTGCATGACTTTGGGGAGGCATGTCCAAATAGGGGGGTTCACAGAAGCCTTTTTCGCTTCCCGTCCCGGTTATTTTTTTTTTCTTGTGTGCAACATTTCTTGCCTACAGTACTGGAAGCAGCCTTTTGCCCGCTAAAATGGAGTGCACAGCATCTGCAGCGCCGCAGCGCAGGACCCGAGAAGTTTCTTGCTGATGCCACAACTCTTGCTTGGGAAGAGTTATTAGCGGGGTTCACGATAGTGTTTTTCGCTTCTCGCACCCGTTATTTTTTTTTCTTGCTCGCGCATTGCTGACATCAATTTTCTCAGCAAAAATTTAAAGTTCCGTGCTAAATTTTAAGCCTGCAGCAGTGCTGTGGTTTCTTGCTCGAGAAGAAATCGCTTCTTGCGAGAAGCTATCATGAACCCCCCTATTGTGAACCCCCCTAATACATGCATTTCAGATAAGAAAAAACAACTGCTGGGATAAAGCCTAGTGGTCACAATTTTGAACTCTACAGTACATCTATAATTAAAGTTCAAAGTTGCAATAAAAGTAAATAAATATTGGGGGCATATGTCCCCCCAGGCACAGGCCCCTTGTTTCAATTTGGATTTTGCGGTCGGGGCATGGTTGGTGTTGGTTTTTGCCATCCACAACTGTAGTCTGTACTGTAAAAGCATTCCCATTGGTCTGGTTAGGTTTTAGGTTAGGAAACCCGGGTTGGAGGTCCGGGTTAGCTAGCCTATAACTGGCGTCAAACGCATCCGTCTGGGTTAGCAAACCCTTGGAGGACAACTCCCCAAAAAATCGCTAAGTTTCAGGTTAGCAATTGCTAAATTCAGCGACTGCAAACCTGAAATCAAACTTTTGGTTAACTAACCTGTTGCTAACCTCGAATTGATGGGAGTGCACAAACAGGCTTGGTCGGGTTAACTTGCCTTAACCCAACCAATGCGAATGCTTTAGCGTCCTCCGGCTCCTCCCTCCTAATTCAGAGGAACGCAGTCAGACAACCCCCCCCCCCTAATGCAAATGTTCTTAAGATGATCAGACCTGGATTGTTAAAGGGTGCATACCTGCAACATGTTCCAAAAGTTTCACGGAATTCCTGTGACGCAGCGAGTGCAGCTTTCCTAAGTGCACCTGCACATAGGAGATGCAACACGGAGAATGCAGATAAAAACCTGAAGAAATTCGACGGGGTGTTAGACATTATGAGCTACATATCTATGTATCCGGCGAATTGGATGTTGTAAACGTGCACAGGCGCCCCTTCCAAATCCTTCGACGAACGATGGCTTTTCTTGTTACTCTTCCGGGTCGTCCTTTTTTATACTCACTGTTTTGGTGCCTCGCAATAGTCCTGGCCACCAACCTTCACTTCGACCTCAACAAGTCACCGGAAGAGAGCTCAGTTGAAGAACTAGCTCAGCTTGTCACTCACGAGTCTTTCCCAGGGCAATCAACCAGCCGCACCTCAGATGCAGGCCCCACAAAGCGCAAATGCGGTCCAGAGCGACTTATCAGCTCCAATACAGTGAAACATGCTTGTCTCTCCCGTGACGCCCAAGTAACTTCAAGTTCAAGTGAGGCCCTACTTTCCTTGTTTATAAATCGCTTCGACACAAGCAAGCCCTTATAAGCCTTTCGTGAATGTACAATGAGTAGATGGTTTCCCTCATGAGGATTCCTCGGCAATTCGCAACCCAACCACCGAGGATTACCGAAATACCAGAGATGTGATATTATCCCGAGTTCTCATTGGTGGGAAGGGCCATGAACAACGTTAGTGCGTCACAGAGCTGACCATCGTATCAACTGGCTTATCACTGCTTCTTTCTCTCTCCGTCTGCATGATTCTCGCCGCCAATCTGCATGTCCACCTTGATTTGATCAATGCAGTTCAGTTATCGCACTCCATACATCCTCACAATTTTATCCAACCTGCCAAACCCGCAAACCTACCACCTCACTACTCCGCTCTAGGAAGCGGGCAAGTGGTGGAAGCCCTGATCAAAGGATACTACGATACTTTTTGTTCTCGGATTGACTCGGAAATATTCAAAGCCGCCCATACTGCTATCCAGGGTAGGCATAAATCATTGCCATTTGCGCTTGCCAATCGTCTGAAACATTATGAACCGGGCAAAGTGTTGAGAGTGTTAAGCGCTAAAAGTCAATACAAATCCGTGCAGATATCCTTGGATATGACTTCACTTTACAAGGTTTTGGTGATCTCATTGTACAAGAAACATCTAGAAATTCTCAGGGAACTCCACATACCGCTATTCGAGGTCAGAATAATGCAAATAGATCTACTCGACTGGGTCGAACAACAAATTTTTGCCCCTCGTGACAGTCTCCCCATCATCGGGACTATACGCGACAATCACCCGAACCGGGAAGAAGATGGTTTTCCCGGGCCAATCAGAGATACCCAAAAAGAATTGATAGAATACTTCGCCCAGGACCACCGTGACCCACGACCCGATGGCATTGTCACTAATCTGTTGAAAACCTTCGCGATTCAGAACAGAGGTAAATAAATTTTGAGTCAAAACAGTCATATCTGAAGCGGGTTGCTGATGCCCATCTACATTAATCTTGGACTTCAAAATACTATGGTAATGGTGCAAACATTTCCGGATAACTTCTATGATAATCATGTCCAACCATCAGATAAATATGTCTACCTGAAAGAACTTTCGAGATTGTATTGGGAAGATCCACAAGAAATCCTACGCGGACTTGAATTTGACAGAAAAGTAGCATTGATAACAACGCTAGCGGATGACTTTCGGATCGGAACCTTCAGGCGTCAACACATCAGTTCAGCCCACAAAGACTATGCTCTCTTTACAACCAATTTCCTTCAATTTGAAGCTGGATACCCAAGGACAAATTTCAAGCGATGTGAGAAAAGGCGATATCACCCTGACCTACCATTGGCTATGTACTACTACGTGGAAGTCTCAAACGGTTACCGAATACTTCGAATTTTGAAATTCTTGCCTGCTGCGTCAAAATCCGAACAAATTTTGCAGGTGGATGCCGACGCACTATACCAGATGTTTAGGAGATTGGCGAGGACGGTAGATCACATACATCTGAAGATTTTAAATGAACTGGAGATAACCGCACAGGAAACAATCCAAACCAAGAGAGAAGTAGTGCTGGGAGCGCTTATTGAAGAAATTTTGCAACCAAAATTTGGCTTTCCAATTGTTGGCAAAATCAAGGTTAACGCAGATGTTCCTCCCTGGGAGGATGCTACATATGCATCTTCCGTTGTGTTTGGTAAAGTCCAACTAAAATTTATCAAATATTTCTCCGAACCTCCAGAAACTGAAGATGTAAAAGGGGCTGCAGCTTTATTCTTGGCATCTTGGTATCGGGATAACCATCCCACTGAATTTGCTTCTTTCATCGAGGCTCTTGAAAAACCCTAAACCTTCTTGATCTTTGCTTTTATTTTCTAAATTAACAGATTGTGTCACAAATGTGCACCCTATATTCTTTTGACTAGAAATTAGAATTATATTGATTAAATGGGGTAGAATAAATAGAATCGAAATGGCACATTTACCCTATTTTTCTGTGAGATAACTGGCTCTCCATGAGCGGTGGTCCAGCTGGCCAACAGGCCAAGCAAGCTTCCCGTGGGCAGCCCATTAAAGATTATTAACATCACAGAAAGTTGTTGTATTCAAAGTTCATTTCATGAGAGGGGGCTTTCTTCAATGGTCCCTGAGTCGGTCCCCGAGTCTATGCTGAGGCGAACGTGGACTGGTCATGAAGATTCAGGTTGTATGGAAAGTGCACGCGACCAAAGAACATTAAACCCAGCCTATCGCGAGCTCTGAGCCTCTCGTGGAGAGAGTGCCATGTGGCTCGTGTTCGAGCCTATCAGTTCGGGGGTCGGGCTGATTGCCCCGGGTGTGACCGACGCCCTGTATTATGTATACCCCGCCTCGCCCTCAAAGATGACAACATGCCCCCAGACTCGCACTCTCCTACTACCGTTCTTCTTCTCCTCACTTCGACAATGAACAGTTCATCGATCTCAGCTGCCCATCAGATCGACACTGTCAGCTCTGGTCGACCAAGCCGGAATCGAAAACCACCAGTGACCTACAATCCACACCTACCGAGCACTCGGCGGAGCAAGCAGCCTGAGCCTCACCATGATGACAACCACGGTATCGATCCATTAGTTCGAACGCGTCGCGCCCACCGTGTGATCGGAAACATCGATAATATGGGCTTTAACGAAACTCATGATGAATCAAAAGAACTACTCAACCAATCAAACTCCTATTCTAACCACATGCTGGAATCCGAAGACAAGGATGCTGACGGGGAAGACGACGATGGAGGGGACGACGATGAATACCCATCGGGTAAGGCCGACAGTGATAGTGACTATTGTGCTGGAAACGGGGAGCAGTCCGACCCTCCGGCTCAATCTGATGACGCAATCACCGTCAAGCGCTCCCGAAGAACTCAACGTGTCCCGATCGATTCTGATGATAGTTTCTCACAACCCAGATCGACCACTCGGAAGGCTCGCCGGAAACCAGTCGAGTCCGACGACTCTGATGAAGATGAACAAGAGGAGATTCCAAGTGAGAACGAGGAATTTAATGATACCGGATCCATCAAGCAGAGTACATCTTCAAAAGACGCCAGAACTCAAAAGTTAGAAGCATTGGCCAGACAGCGAGCCATAGTGGCCAGAGAGCAAGCCGGTACTCGCAGGAGCGCACGCAACTTGACTATCCGATTTGGAGAAGATCCCCATCGAAATCAGTCCAACAAGCAAGCCCATGAGGAGGACGAAGGTCGCCAGCTAAGGAATAGGAAACACGTTGACTATCACATCCCCGCCTTGGATGCATTCGAAACGGAAGATAAGAGCAAGGGCAAGAAGGAAAGAGGACGAGGGATCCGATTACCGATGAACATGAGCGGCAAACAAATGGATCGACTGTTTGCCGGTCAACGTCCTGGTGCTGATTCAGTAAGCGTCGATCTCCAGGTGATCATGTTTACCAACTTTCTCCAACAAAAAAACTCCCATGTTTCTCTCTAGGACGAAGAGCCCACTCCTGCCTTTGGCCAGGTCAGTGGTGCTGGTATGTTAGGTGGCGCATCTGCTGGTCCCTTTGGAGCTCCGTTACTAGATCCTGGAAGTTTTGCCGCTGGGGGTCCTAGTAATATGGGTAAAATGTCTGGGGCTACCAGTTGAGTCATACATACCCAATCCCTGTGTTACGTATTTTAACTGACACTCTACATTTCCTGCGCTTTTAGACCTTGCAGATACAGATCCTCTCGGAGTACAGACCAATATCGACTTTTCGCACGTCGGTGGAATGGAAAATCACATTCAGCAACTCAAAGAGATGGTGTCTCTTCCTCTGCTCTACCCCGAGGTTTTCCAGCGCTTTCAAGTTACCCCGCCTCGTGGTGTGCTCTTTCATGGCCCACCCGGAACCGGGAAAACTTTACTCGCTCGGGCGCTGGCTGCAAGTTGTAGTAGTGAAGGACAAAAAATCTGTGGGTTTCCTTTTTTTGTTGTGAAAATGCTGCCATGCAGAAGTTTTGTGGTCGCTCACTTCGTGCGATGTTCTTTTGCCGCTCAGCCTTTTTCATGCGCAAAGGTGCGGATTGCTTGAGCAAATGGGTGGGAGAAGCCGAGCGCCAGTTGCGATTATTATTTGAGGAAGCCAAGAACTGCCAACCTAGTATTATTTTCTTTGATGAGATCGATGGTCTCGCGCCAGTAAGGAGCAGTAAACAGGAACAAATTCACGCGTCAATCGTCTCGACCTTGCTATCGTTAATGGATGGTATGGATGGCAGAGGTCAGGTGGTTATCATCGGAGCGACCAATCGACCGGATGCTGTCGATCCTGCCCTCCGACGGCCTGGTAGATTTGATCGAGAGTTTTACTTTCCCCTGCCCAATCGAGAAGCTAGACTAAGCATCCTAAACATTCATACTCGTGATTGGAATCCTCCACCCTCGGAGGAATTCAAAAGCGAATTAGCTGATCTAACGAAAGGATATGGTGGAGCTGATCTCAGGGTTTGTAGGAGCTGATCATCGGATATATATACAAAAGTCATTACGTTATTCACATTGACGTCTTGATCAATCATGTGCTCTTAATCATCCAGGCTCTGTGTACGGAGGCCGCTTTGAACGCTGTGCAGCGGAAATATCCTCAAATTTACAAAACATCTGATAGACTCGTAATTGATCCTCAGTCGATTGATGTGGTCCCGCGAGATTTCACCATCGCGCAAAAACGTATGCTAATTACCTTATCGTCCTTTTGAGCCTTCTGGGTATTGACTGGCTCGACTACTTCTATGAATTAGATCTGGTCCCATCAACTAGCCGCTCTACTGCGAATATTGCAAGCCCACTGCCTTCTCATCTAAAACCTTTGTTAGAGCGATCGTTCGAGCAGGTCAAAGGGCTCCTGGATAAAATGCTACCCAATGTGAAGAAACCCAACATGCTCGAAGAAGCAGAATATGAGAATGATGATTCTGGTTTCGAGAAAGAAAAAACGATGCAAAGTGAGTTCAAGCTATGTTATTTGATTAATTCACCGTTCCGATTATTGACTTTCTCGTCTTTCCCCTCACAGCATTTGAAACCTTGCGAATCTTTCGACCTAGGTTGGTAGTATGTGGTTCCAAAGGCGCCGGTCAGCAACACATTGGCGCTGCCATATTACATCATCTGGAAGGATATCATATCCAATCCCTCGATCTCGCAAACTTGATTGGCGATTCAACAACAGTGAGTCGGGCGAAATGTATTATTCAAGTTTTGTGACAGCTGGCTCATAATGTTACTGCGCCATCTTGCTAGAGTGCAGATGCGAGATGTGTACAAATATTCACAGAAGCCAAGAGACACAAGCCATCCCTTTTATATATACCCTCACTGCATCATTGGCAATCTTCACCGATTCTTGAAAGTGTCACAAGGACAGTGACAAGCTTATTAGACGAGCTGAAGGCCTCGGACCCCATCCTACTCCTGGCGATCGTTGACTGCCCATTCAAGGACCTCTCCAAAGACATCAAATCCTGGTTTGGCGTCAACAGATCCAATAGAGTTACCCTTCCATCTCCCGATGAAGCTCAACGCACAGAGTTCTTTGCTGATACGATCGCCAATATCCGACGGCCACCGACAGAGTTTCCAGATGCTTTGCCCAGGAAGAAGCGGGTCCTTGACGTGCTGCCTAAAGCACCGCCCCGTGAACCCAGGAAACCGACGGAAAGTGAATTGCAGTCCCAACTGGCCCAAGATCAAAAATTGATTGAATATCTCAAGTTTCGCTTGGGGCCAGTGCTTGCCGAGCTGAAAAAGAAGCACAAGCGATTCACCAAGCCGATCAATGTAGGCCATGTTCTTCTCCCCCCATTCTTCATTTGTATTGATAGAGGCTAGCAAACGGCGAGCTCATTAAGTGTTTCAAATCTTGTCTTTATAGCCACCACCGCAACAACCAGACCCGCAAGCAGATGAGGACGAGATTTCAAAGGTCCCAAAGTATTACGACGTCGATCTGGAAAAGATGCATTACAAGCTCTACTATAACGAGTATCTCACTTCGCAGCAATTCGTGGCGGACGTCCAGAAGATCGTTTTTAATGCGGAGCAGGAACACCAACGCTCCTTGAGCGTAGACCATGAGACGGTGGTTAAGGCGCAAGCAATGTTGACGCACACGAGGGTGATGGTTGAACAAGCCTGTGACCACCAGTTTGATATTGACTGTCATCGGATGTACGAACGTATGAAACTGCGGAATCCGCTCCTTGGCCAGCCGAAAAAACGAACTACACCCAAGGAGAAAAACCAACCTTTACCGGAAAGACAAAGTAGTCGAGTTTGTGGTTTGGAGCCCGAGATCCCCTACGATCCTCTGTTCTCTGACCGGGGTGTCAAACGAATGATCAGTGGATGTGACGCGCACACCGATCACGAACGGCCTATCAAGCGGAATAAAGGTCATCAGCCCTCGTCTAGTGGGTCTGTTAAAGACGATGGGGCCGTCGATGAAAACCACCAGACTGATGGAGCAATCCAGGAATCTAGCGCTCACGTGGCTGATGTCCCAGACTCTACAACGCCGGACTACGAGCCAGAACCTCTGAAGGTCATGGAACCGCATCTTTCCGGCACCATCCATTCCGCAGTGACGTTATCGCTAACCAATCTGTTCAATGTCGATAATCCTCAGCCCAACGGCCTCACGCACCCCCAAACATCCTCCACACAGGGGAAGACTCTGAATGGAGACTGGAACATGCAAAACGGAGACCCTGAGCCGGTCTCGCCACAACCTCAACCCAATGGCAATGCCGACGTTGAGATGAACGCCAGTGACCAGATACCCCAGCATGTCAATCTTGGCCCAGATAAGGACGATCCAGTCGGTGCCCCCCGTCCAGTCGAGCCTCCACCTCCAGCGATCATCCCCCCAATCATCTACCCAGATTTCGTGTGTCCCGAACAGTCCGTCCAAGCCATCCACTCTGAGCTGGTCTACAAGACTGGCAGACTCTCAATCGATCAACTCGAGGAACTTCGCGCTGGTTGTTGGAACTTGATCTGGAACTTCAGGGCGGACTTCAATCGGTCTCTCATGATTGCCGAGTGTCTGAGTTTCATCCATCAGTACTTCGCGGATATTCTCGATGATCAGGAACTACAAAATATTGATGATCAGTGAATCCATCCTCACCGTTTGTGTGAGTCATTTTACTTACATTTTTCTTTTCTTTTCAGCTTCCTTTTGCTCCGTCTTTCTCATTGACTTTTCTTTTTAAATTTTATTTATTTATTGATAGTTGTAACGCTCATGGAGTCAGTAACTTGTAAAACCAAAATTTATATACATACATATTTTATGACAAGAAAAGATTCAGCATAAGTTTAAATTACACACCCAAAGGTCATTTGTTTTAGCTTTCAGAACACCACCACCACTCACACTTTTTTTATCCATTCATCTTCTCTTTTGGCTTATTTGTGGTGGTAGCTGGCTGGTTGGTAGATGTTTTTTTTTTGGTTTCCAACCCCCTCTTGATCTAAACTATAAATACATCTAAATAATATACATATTAAATATTGAAAATATTTCAAGATCGGTGTGATTTGTTTGCATGTAATCAATTGTGTGAGTATTGTTTGGGTGAGTGTGGTGGTTGTATGTTTTGAAAATCAGAAAAAAAAGCCTTAGCAAGGAGGCCTCAAATTAGATGATAGGATGTCCACTTTGTAATGATCCTTGAATTGCAGATTGACCCATCCAAGCCAACAATCTGACACCTTCACATGTGTAAGTGTGACAGTCAGATATGTAAGAGCATCTCCACCGCAGGTTGCCATCCAAGTTGCCAAATCTTCAAGTTTGGCAACTGCGGCGCACTTTTAGCAACTGGCAGGTGGTCAGTTTTGCACCGCGAGTTGCTCAAGATAGCAACTGGGGAACGTTGTGGTAAATAATACTGTGTTTCTATGCAGAAAAATATAAAAATTTATTATTATCTCTTTATATATTATAGATATGGTAAAAATGACATCAGAAATGGATTTCTCAGGTAAAATAACCCCTAGTCACCCACTACAACTGACCCCATATCTCTCATAGTTTAGAAGTTACACAGATTTCAACCTGTCACGGGATATCTTTTGGATTCTTTACTCTCAGTATGGCTTGTTTTGAATACTGGATGCATATTGAATATTGATTTCCTTTGTGTTGTATTGAATTCCTTTTTTGGCATATAGTGCATATTGAATTCCTTTGTAGGTGCACATGCATTCCTTTGTAGTAGGACCTTGTAGGCTAGCCAAAATACCTCAAGGCAGTGCTCTCACCAGCCAAATTCCCTCACCTGCATGTACTAGACTAGCTAAAATCCCTCATTGGATCTTCAGGCCAGCTAAAATGCCTCAAAAGCCTGTACCCTGGGGCTAAAATCACTCACATTTGTCTATATAAGGAGGCCTCTGCCTGCCAGTTGTTCCCTCCATCATCCCACCAGTGGACCAGATCATCTCAACCACCCTTACAGATTATATACAAGTGCCAGCCATAACAACACATTATATTGAAATACAACCATAACAGTTTCATCATCATAACAAGTGCCAAGTGTCCATAACCTGCCTCACATACCATTACTGGTTGAAGCATAGCGCTCCCAGAGCTCCACGCCTTGGTATTAAAGCTTTGAACAACAACTCCATCAATATAATCATCACTCATTAACAACTTCAGACCCTTATACACATCACTCGGAAGCTTCATCTTGAACTATCCTCTATCACGATAAATATAACTGCCAAGCTAAGCTTGGTGGTCTTGTTGTTCTGATAGCATAGAAGGGCAGAGCTTGCAACTCCAACATACCCTTCTCCATTCAGCAACAGAGGGTTTTCATAAACACTTTTGAGTCTTACAACGTGA